ACACTAACACAACATTACACGATCGTTGCCTTCTCCCACCTGCACCTTGCGTGCGACAATCAACAATTGTTAGATCTGTAGTCGTAAAGATCGCCACCTCGAATTCCTAACTCACTACTAGATCTGTAGCCATCACCACCACCACCAATCTCTATTTTGCTTTTCACACTTCGTTTCCATCTATCACCACCCTAATGTCGACTTCGACAATAAATGGTATGACTGTAGAGAAAAGTAAAGCCGTGATAGGGAGGCATGGGATACTAATACGACATTAAGCTTGTTTGGCTCTCATTAATTTTTATTCCATTACATTCCATTATCTCTCTCTTCTATTTTCAACCACACAATCATCCATAAAATAATATTACACGTAAATTGAAAATTTTTCCTTATTTTTCAACCACTCATTAAAAAAAAAAAAAAAAACACTATTTCACTTATTTTCATTTCCACAAAATGCAGGCCAAACGGGGGCTTAGATTCGAAGGAGGTGTTGAAGGCTCACCCCGGTAATCGAGAGGGTTCAAAGAGAACAAAGGCTACGAGAATAGAGTGAAGAGTCTTGGGACTCTTATTGCAATCAAGCTAATGTACGTTTGAACCTTCCAACACTGGTTTTCAGTGGTGGTGGCAATGGTTAGAGTTAAAATATACGTGTAACTAGATGGATTTGGTATGGCAATGGCGGTGTTTGACTGCAGATCCAACACTAGTTGCTGATCCAGAGGGGAAGGTGGTCGTGGCGATGCCAAAGAAGAATGTAACAATCGGCGCTTATGGGGTGTTTTGGGGTTGAAACTGCATTAGGTATGGGGTTGGTTGGCGTGGAATATGGGTGAAATACACCTAATTTTTGAAAAAATAATTTTATAATCTGATTATTAATAAAAAAGGTAAGTTTGAGTATAATTTTCTCTTCGTATCATGACTCGACCACCTCCACACCTCGTCAAATCTTATCCAGAAAATAAGCAAACGTGACATTAGTGTATTAGCTGCATTTTTATTAATTTTTTATTCAAAAAAAAAAAAAATTCTACAATTCATGCCCATAAAAAGGAAAAAAAGAAACAATTAATCAATTATACTTGCAAGTGACATTCTTATTATTTATTTCGTTCGCTGTCAGTTCAATTCTTGTCCGAAATGTTAAATCCACGATGGATGGCGTTTGTCGTGTATTGAATTATTGTACTAAAGTCACGAAATATAAGAGTGGACATAAATATCTTTGATAAAGTTGTTATATAATGGTTTTTTGTTTTGTTTCACTTCGTTTGTTTTGTTTTATTTTTTTTTTCAAGTGATATACTGATATTAGTAATTACTAAAAAACTCACTTTTAATGACGAAATTTTTATTATAATTAGTCATCATCTGTTTGTTTTGTTGATAAAAGATCGGCAAGACTTTACAAAACAGAAGTTTAATCATTATCGCCATGTCCCTCTTCAAGCTAAGTTTTAAGATTCTAAATTTATATTTTACTATTTTTAACATGTATTGAGACAAATACTAAATAGTATAATATTTACAATATATATACACGAATATTTAGATATATGTAGCAACGTTAATTAATCATACTATTAATTAAAACTACGTGTACTATAGAAAAGTATGCTAATGATCATGAACCTAGCATACTCTCCTATGATATCAAATAGGAGTATCGAATCTCTTAACCATAGAATGAATTGAAGAAGATGGAAGATAAGAAGTAGAAAGGGAAAAAAAAAATTAAACGCTTTCATCTATAATATAAAGGGATTATTAAACAACTTGTAACATTCCTAACAATCCAGTCGTTTTTGGTGAACCTTCCATAATTATTGCTAAAAATAGTTAAGCTGCCCCAATGAAATAATTCAAGAAAGAGAATGCACAAAAATAACAATGTTGGATTATCAAGATAGCTATAATAAATATGAAAATAAGTATATTAAAACCTAATTTAATTTAGTTAAAAAATTTGATAAAAAATTAGATAAAAAATTAAGTTAAAGTCAATAATTAATTCTAATAATATATTATTTGATATCTACAAAATTTATCAACTTTTTAATTAAATATTTAATTATTTTTTTTTTATCAAAATTTAAAAATCAAACATGAATTTAATATGATGTAGCCAAATATGCCATTATGATGTACTTATCCATAATCCAATGGTGATTTTATATAATACTTCTGCTTTTGGTCACGATTTGGAGAAGTAAATAAAATATTTTTACCCTCTAATCTGGTGGGTTGACACTGCAGATCTCTACAATTTTGAAGAAAACATAATTTAATTAGACACAAATCAGAATCCAAAGTCTTTTAAGTAGGCCATTAGCCATCTTAGCCGTACCCATGTCACCCAATGTAATAGAAATACACAGAAAGCAGCGTGAAAATACACACAGATAGATACAGAGAGAGATTAATATGAGAGAGACAGTATTGTTTGTCGTCTCTCTCCTCCCCCATCTCTGTCCACTGAATAGTCTTCCTCTTGGGAATCGGTAACACCGACCTCTCCTTTTACAACATACCTCAAGAATAATTTCTGGATTTTTCTCCTTTTCTTCAAAAGCACCGCATTAATTTTTGTGAGCAGCTACAAGTATATTTTGAATTTGTTTCTGTGAGCATAATTGTGCAGAGCATTAGATCTCTTACTGCTTCAGGTAATTTCTCGTTAAGTTTTAATCTTTTTGCTCTTTCTGAACTCATTTCTTGAAAAATGTGTGTGAAGCTCTCTAGAGTTAGCTGTCTCGACCTAATGTATGTTTATGCCTTCTGCATTTGTGTAAAAATTAAAATACAAGGCCTTTTTTCCCTTGGATGAACAATCTGGAAAAATGGTTTTTTT